GAGAGAGAGAGAGAGAGAGAGAGAGAGAGACGGTAGTTTCTCGCTCGAGTTTCTATCTGCTGCGCCGAATTGCGGGATAATTGGTGGAAAGTGTCCACGCTCAGCTGGTTTGCGAGCGGTGGAGCTCAGTGAAGGGAGGGTCTTTTAGGCTCGGATGCAGTGACGGGCCGGGACAAGAAACGACACAAGCAGAGACATCACTTTATACATAAATACGACTTTATATGAATATGCATTGTTTGTTTCTCGCCTGAAGCACTACTTGTTTCACACCGTCGTTGGTTTGTAAATGGTGGTCCCAGCGAGCCGACGTGTGTATAGGTTTCCAATCCACTGAGGTGCTGCTACTACCGTCTTCACCCGAATAGAACGCCCGGTCATTATCGCTGCATCTGGACAGAAAATGGGTCCAAATACGGCTATAATGACCGGGCGTTGTATTCGGGTGAAGACGGTAGCCTGCAGAGGAAAAGGCATGAGCATAGCTGCTGAGGGGTTGTAGAAATTTTACAGCTTTCGTTAGAGCTACGTGGAACAACGTCGTCATCATCATCGCCATCGCCATAGTCACGATCGCCATCGCCATCACCGTCATCACCATCACCATCATCACCATCATCACCATCACCGTCATCACCGTCATCACCATCACCATCACCATCACCATCGCCATCGCCATCACCATCACCATCGCCATCGCCATCGCCATCGCCATCGCCATCGCCATCGCCGTCGCCATCACCTTCACCATCACCATCACCATCACCACCATGATCACCGTCATCGTCACCGTGATTATGAGATGCACGCTGCATGTCTGACATCCTCGCGAAGAGTTTCAAGGCCGATCTGGCCAACTTTGCTCATCAGCAGCAGCAGAAGCGGATCCATCAGTGCCAGCGTCATCTCCACGACCTCGACCACCGTCATGGTCTTAATTTTATAAGACTGCTCATTTTATAATTATCATCTCTCTTCCACTAGGTACGCCAATTACCGTTCGAGTGACCCGTTGAAGCAGACCAGATTCTGAAGACGTTGTCTCCCTTATCCCGATCACCAGGCGACCTACGCCTGTCTTTCTCTAATACGGCACAACGGATTCGCGGCAAGAGGATTGTGCCGGATTGGTCCTGAAGGGTTTTTTTTTTTTTTTTTTTTTTTTTTTTTTTTTCTCCTTAACCAGGCCCAGTGCCCAAGGCTGATATTACCAATAAGAAGATTGAGGCTCTATTACCATTCCTGGGCAGTTTCCCGGCGTGTGAATCCGGCGCGATCCTGGACTATTCCAGGGGCAGCAGCCGGTTCTCGGAATCTTCTCACGACGGGGGAGAATCCCGGTTTCGATCCCTTCTTGCATAAACTAGCTTATTGCTCGGCTATAGGCCGTCTTCCCGGAGCGATCGGTTCTTTTCTTTTTTTTTTTTTTTTTTTTTTGGTGGGAATATCGACTGCGGGTGTAGAAGGGGTGCTGTTAAGAGCAGACACCCCCCTCTACAAGCCCAGTTGTTGGATTGCTCCGTTCCATTGGTGGGGAACTGCTGCTGCTGGAAATCGGGTCCGACCAGACAGACGACAGCGGAAGGCAGAGCGAAAGGCAACAACACAGCTGTCACAGCTGTCTGAGCCTCCTCTCGCCGTCCAAACTGAAACTTGAATAAGTCGACATGGGGAGCAGGGCTTCCGCAATTGACAGGGTACTCCGTCGTCGCTTTTATGGCTCCTCCTCCGTAACGGCTGAACCAGGAGGTAATCGCTTGGATTTCGATCGACTTGGCGATGCCACCAGGGATTTGCCGCCCCCTTCAGAGGGCGTCAAAAGGCGGATTGGGAGGCTGATTTGCCTAGAGCTCGGCGAGAAGAACCTGGGCTGGCTCGTAATCACCGTGGTCGTCACCGCCCTTGGAGCCTTCGGCAAGAGCATCGAGAGATCGGTACTCTGGCTTCTCGTCGCCGTCCTCGTCGTCGAAACGATGTTGAAATTGACCCGAACGTTCGTTCAGGAGTTCTTCGCCAGTGTTGTCCCTTGCAGTTTCGTCATGCTGCAGTTGGCCGAGGACTCCGATCGTTATCATAGCTACGTTGCGGCGGTGTGGTTCTTGCGAGTGGCGGGGATTTCAACACAGAGTGTGTTGGCTGGGATGCTCGCTGGGCGAGTTGGTTCTCAAAAAGCGCTGGCCACCAAGGATAAAGGTGCTGACAGGCTTCTAGAGATGATACACTACTGCTATGGCGTCGTCTTTTTGGACGTTCTTGTCTCCCTCGTCATCGTCTGTCTCAATTCGTTTCATTCCTCACCTTTCTCGCTTGTCTTATTGAGTTTGAAGCGCCTGTTCTTGAGGCCAACACGACAATCAGGCCGCAGTTCATCCCACCATTGGACGCCTGGTACAGCCAAGGAAAGCAGGGGGGGCATTGGTAGCTCACCACGGGCCATGGAGGAGAGCCGGGTAATGGAAGAAGATCTATCGGCTCTTGTGTGGTATTTGCACTGCAGGCGACACCCTCTGTTGCCTGCTGTGTGCGCCTACCAAGCCGATGGGAATTGCGGACTGCCTGGACATTGGTTCCTTAGCGCGGAGGAGCTGCTCAAACATGCTTTCCGTCCCATCAGCTGCTACAAAAACAACGCTCTCTTTCCCGAGGCGCAATCCAATAAGCTGAACATGGACCAGGAGATGGCCCTGGACTCATTGGCACGGTTGGCCAAGAGCCGTGATCAGAAGGTTTGCGACTTGATCGTCAGAGAAGGGGTGGATACTGATGCCCTTTGCAAGTCGTTGGCACGCACAGGTCGGTGCAATGCCGAGAACGGCCCGTCGAGGTCCTCAGTCAATTGTCACAGATATGGCAATGGGAACGGGAATCGGGCATATCGGATCCGTACGATCCGCTTGATGGCGCTGGTGTCTTTCCTCTGGCCAGTGTGGGATTCACTATGCTGAATGCTTTGGCCTCCGGTGCCTCTCCTCAGCTCCAGGAGAATGCCGCCGTAACACTTGCTGCTCTCTGCTTGAGMTACCGATTCCAAAAACTTCTGTTCTCCGGCGAAGCGGGTAAAACCCTTTTCGAACAGCTGGCCAATATGGCAGCAGGTGGTGAACTGATGGACGCCCGCTGCAGGTACACCTTCAAGGTCATGAGGCACATAATGCATTACTTCTTACCTTATGCGCATTCAGTGAGGCTGGAGAAAGTCCAGAGCTTCGCACAGCTTTCTGCCGACGCCACCCTCGAATGCAATGCACCACGGCGGGAAGCAATCTTTGGCGTTCACCACGATCTGGAGGAATTGGAAGGTGAAGAGTCGTGGATCCTACCCCCTCGAGGCGCTTTTCGAGAGTCCAGAGCACTTCCTGTTGTAGTCGATGTTGCTCTGTCACACTGGGCCTCTCTCGAATGCAAAGAAGAAGTAACCTACATCTTCTTATGTTATCACCACCTTGGGTCACATCAGCTTTTCCCTTTCGAAGTGGCAGAGCTGACACGTCTCCTTCAGATGCAGGTCGAATCAGTACCCATAGCAGTGATGGGTTATGTCCTGTTGGCACTCTGCGACTTGTTCCTGCGCTACTTCTCGGACGAACCCCTCCTGCCTAAAGGAGGACCCTACCGCAGAGTGGAGATCCAGATTGATCGTGACATTGTCCCCCGGCTGATTACACAGGAGACAAGAAGGTTCGTGACCAACCTTGCTTGTTTTATTCTCAACTTGAGGATTGCCAAACCCGTGGAGGACTTCTGGCGAGAGTTCATGACCTGGTATTCGGAGGACGATAGCCATCTTCCTACCCTGTCATGGGCCCTCCGGAGCCCTGCTAGGTTGCTGTCTTATCTCCTGGCTTACCACTTTGATCTTTTGAGAAGCGAGATTGACGAGGTTTTCGTCGGCAACCAGGCGAACTCTCGCACAGCAGCTGTGCCAAAGGTGTCAAAAACAGCCAAAAACTTGTCTGTGATATTAAACAGTTTTGCAAGTCTGATTGTAGAACAAGAAGAGTCGAAGATCACAAAGCTGAATGCCTGCAAGGCTCTCAGTAAGCTAGCAACTCACAGGGATAACTGTCTTCTCCTCGATGTCGTAGAAGCCTGGAAATCTGTGCTCAAATCTCACTCCGTCCATTACCGTCCTATACCGAACGAGCCTGAGTTTCGACTGCTGACGGATCTTCTGAAAACCCATTTGCCCGGCTTTGGCCTCGACCCACTTTGTCGGGATGGACTTGCGAAAGTAAGTCCAGCCGTGTAACGTCCTGGTACATCATCGTGCCTTCGTCTGCGCCTTCTTCTGCATGCTCAGACTGGGCCTTCTTCTGCATGCCCTGGGCCTCAGGGTTCTCTATTGGTCTCTTAGCTCCCCCTCACTCTGTCTCTTTTTGAGGATGCGAGTGAGGAAAACTGCCTTTGTGTCTTTCCATTCCGGGCAAGTCTAGACGGATGGTTATCTGCCTCTACGATCAGAAGGCGCAAGCTCTGGTCAGGGTAGAGTCACTCTCCGGAGGTGGGACCGTGACGTTTGTTCCCTCGCGGACGTCACGC